TATTTTATTTTTTTTTTTATTTTAAACCACAATCTCCCTAAATTGCTAAGGCTGACCTCAAACTTGTGTTTTTCCTGTCACAATCTCCTGAGTAGGTGCGATTACAGGCATTAGGGCATTAGGGCACTTGGCCCTAATCATAAACTCATAATCAATGTCACACTTTTAAGTAAAACCAAGTATGTAAAGTCCTGGGTTCAATCCCCAGTATCCCCACACATAAGTCATTTTGTTGTTGTTGTTGTTGTTGTTGTTACCAAGAATTGAACTAAGGACCTTGCACTTGCCAGGCAGGCCCTTATACCACTGAGCTATCTCCCCTGCCCCTCACTTATTTATTCATTTATTTCTTTTTCTTTTTTTTTTTTTTTTTTTCTTTTTTTATTCTTTGATGGTAGCAGGGACCAAACTCAGGACATTTTTTTTTTTTTTTTTTTTTTTTTTTTTTTCTTGCAGAACCGGGGATTGAACTCAGGCCCTTGCCAGGCAAGTGCTTATTCCACTAAGCCATCTCCCTGGCCCCCAAACTCAGGACCTTGCACTTGCCAGGTAAGCACTTATTCACTGAGCTATCTCCCTGGCCCATGGCCCTTCTTTGAGACCAAATTTCTTTTGTACTCCCCAGTTATCCTTCTACATATAAAGCTAGAATTATGTTCAGGGGCTGCATATCTAGTATTTACTATACTCAGAGATGGCTTCAGAGATAGACAGCAAATCTGATTTACATTTCATCATATATAGAAATGAAGAAGGGCCAAGCTAAGCCAAAAGCTCTTTCTAAATTAGTGCTATCCAGCAATGATCGAAATATTCTGTTTTTTCACTGTCAGTGTGGTAGATATTAGTCACAGTGACTACTGAGCCATTGAAATGGGGCTAGTGTGACTGAGGAACTAAAATTTTAATTTCATGTCATTTTAATGAATTTAAATTAACATTTAAAGGGCCAGGGAGATGGCTCGGTAGAATAAGTGCTTCCCTAAATTAACATTTAAATAAATAAATCTAGCCAGTGACTACTGTATTGGACAGCTCAGTCCTGAAAGCTTGGGAAAGCATCTAATTTTCTTTTTCTCAAGGGATTACTTTCCATTTGGTTGTAGTTAAGAGTAAGTTTATGTTCTCCGATCACATCTGAGTAATGGCAAAAGGAAACTGCCCAGAAGTCTACTGGTTGGCAAGGGCAACCAGCCTGCGTTGTTAAACTGGCAGAGGGTAATTCCCACGGATACAGTCAGGAGCTTACAATAGGTAAGGGTAAGAACAAAATGCAGGGCCACAATCTAGCAGAGAAAAAAACATTTTCTCCATTCTGAGGATTGAACCCAGGGCCTTCCCACTGAACTAAACCCCCAGCCCTTTGTATTTTTTTCATTTTGAAGCAAAGTCTCGCTAAGCTGCCTGGGTGAGACTGGAATGTCCAGTCCTGATAGGTGCTACAATGCTGGCCTGTCTTGGCTAAGGGCTGGGGTGGGAGCCCTGGCGCCACAAGAAAAACTAAAAGCCAAGCTTAAGCTTTGTTCATCTCCTATTCCCTATGGAAGGCTGTCATTTAGGCTCCTGAATTGAAATACAGATTCAAGAAGATTTTTTTTTTACAGACTTTCCTACTGTAAATTTTATTTTTTTTATTTATTTTTAATTTTTTTTTTTTTTTTTTAATTTTAGGGAAGGGTCTACAGGGTCTTTAGGGTCTCACTACCAGAGTGGACTCAACAGTGATCTGCCTTTTTACAGCCTCCCAAGAGCTGGGATTACAGGCATACTCTACCACACCCAGTCTCAATTGCTATCTCAGTGCGCCCTGGAGGTGGGGCCAGCACGGCAGGCCCCAGGATCCAACCCCTCGGTCCCTGTGCCTGCTTGCAGGCGCTTTAATCCACTGAGCTATTTGCCCGGCCCATAAACTTAAAAGTGTTTGGGTTTTTTGTTTTCATTTTGCAGGACCAGGGCTCGAACTCAGGACCTTGTACTTGCCAGGCAGATGCTTATGCCACTGAGCTGTCTCCCTGGCTCTAAAAGTGTTTGAAATACTATCACAGTTTTATTTCTTGAGATGCCTTACAAGCTATTACTGCGGGGCTGTGCCCTGTGTCTCAGTGCCCAGCCACCCCCCCTCCTTCCTATGGTGGTCCTTTCCTGCCCCAGCCACGCCTGAGCAGGTCGTGCACTCATCTGGGAGCTTCTTGAAGGAGGGCTCCCCAGCAGCCACCTTTTCAGTCCTAAACTCTAGCAGAAGGCCCGGCACTGAAGTGTGGCGGTCATCCTTGAGGGGGTGTGACGTGTAGAATGCTGGGGGTGGGTACGGTCTATCCTTTGCTCAGTGTGAAGACAGTTCCTCGCGGGGCTGGGGAGATGGCTGAGTGGAATAAGCGCCTTCCTGGCAAGCGCAAGGGCCTGAGTTCAATCCCCGGTTTCGCCAAAAAAAAAAGACAGTTCCTCGAATGGTGACATCTTGGGGCTTTGAAAACACTCGTGATAAAGTTTGATAACAAGGGGATGATATTGTCCCAAAATATAATTTATTATGCCCTAAAGTCCTCAAACCTCACTTCTTTTTATCTCCCGATCCCAGCCTTCTCTCCATTCTCCTCCCTTTCTTCCATTTCCCCTCCAGTTCCCACCCAAATGGCTGCACACCTATAAAAAATTCTGCCACTTCCTCTCGCGGCACACCTCCCCTGTGCAAGAGCCTTGAGTGCACCCCCACATTGCTTTGTTAGCTTCCTGCAGCTGCTTTTGTGTGTGTGTGTGTGTGTGTGTGTGTGTACCCTTGTTTGTGTGCTGTAGCCTACACCATCTTGCTGTAATTGTTCCACACCTCCACGCTCTGGTCCCACCCAACACCCTGGGTCCCTGGGCCCCTGAAGGCAGGCACACTCACCTCCCACCATTCTCTGAATACAGAGGACCCCTTGTACGAACTGTTCCTGCCACTCTGCTTGGCATGATCTCTCTGTTCAGGACCTCATGGTCTCTTCCCCTCCATTACCTCAGCCCAGACAGCAGCCGGCAAAGGCTGGTAGTTTCCTGGCAAAGCCAGCCTCGGTTACCACTGGGCACCCAGAGGACCCATCAAGCTGCTAAATTCTCTGACAAGTATACGTTTGTTCATAGCTGTCTTTTCTACTACATCGTAAGTTTCTGGAGAGTAAGAACTGAGTGGCTGCCAGGACCTGGAATGCAGTAAGCATTCAGATGTTACTTACTGAACATGTTCTTAAACCTGGCATGGTGGTGCATGCTTGTGATCCCAGCACTCAGCGGACTGAGACAGGAGGATCATTTGGAGTTTTGCGACCAGCCTGGGCTACAGCGTGAGCTCAAGGCCAGCCTGAACTGCACAGTGAGACTTTGTCTCAAAAAGATTAAGTAAAAAAGAAGAAAAGAAAAAAAAAATGTTCTTCAGGGGCTAAAGACATGGTGGTTCATGTCTCTAATTCCAGCACTAGGAAAACTGAGTCAGGAGAATCACCCAGCCTGGGCTGTTTAGTGACTTAGTGAAACCCTGTTTCAAAATAAGAAATGAAGGGGCTGGGGAGATAGCTCAGTAGAATAAGCGCTTACCTGGCAAGTGCAAGGGCCTGAGTTCAATCCCCGGTTCCACAAAAAAAAAAAGAAAGAAGTGAAAAGGGCTAGAGATGTAGTTCAGTATGAGGGTTCTGTGTGTAATCCCCTGTACTACAGAAGCAGCAACAACAAAAGGCTAAAGGATTTCGGTTGCTGTTTTTGTTTCCAACTCAAAATAGAGTCTAAAATGAAATTCAAAGATGGAGAGATAAAGACTGGAGCTGGGGTGGCCGTGGCTGGGAAGAGCCACTGAATTGCGCAGAGGCAGGAAGAACAGGGTGGGATGCACCTTCTGAAGTGGAGCTGTAGGCTCCAGAAAGCCCGAGGCCTTGCCCAAGGCCGTGCAGGAAATGAATGGCAAAGTTAAGGCTCAAACTGCTCTTCTGTTTCCCACTGTACAGTCTTCACATCCCCAAGTCTGTCTGTCAGTCTGTCCCTTTCGCTCCCTCTTTCCCTCATCTCTCCCTCACTCCTCTTGCTGAGGATTGAACATAGAGCCTCACACATACTGAACATACTGTACCACTCAAACTAGTTTTCTTTTTGTTTAGGAGGCTTTATTGAGACCAGATCTTTCTGTGTAGTCCACAGCTGATGTTCAGTTTTTCTTTTTTTAATCACAAGAACCAGATGAGAAGCCAGGCACCACAGCACACACTTGGAGCTCTAGCACTTTGGATGTGCTGAGATAGGAAGATTGCAAGTTCGAGCACAGCCCTGGGCAATTAGTGACTTGGGGGGATATCTCAACATTTAAAAAGATAAAAAGGGGGCTGGAGAGATGGCTCAGTGGTCTAAAGCACCTACTTAGAACAAGCTTAGCAAAAGCATCAGGGACCGCGGTTCAATCCCCCAGC